AGTGCTTACTGAAGCAACATATTGGCTTTCCAGTTCCTTGCCATGTTCATCATCCTCAGGAATTCTCATTGTGCCGTCCCTGTCCCAGTCACAATATTCTATGAACTGACAGTGACATTTCTGGTGTGCTACTTTTCGGAAAGTGAAAGAAACTCTAATATTTCTTTTGAACAAACGTTGGTTCTCAGGATCAATATCATATTTCCTCTTTCTGATCCTAAAGACGACATCAAAGGCATTCCATACCGAAGCTTTAAGAGGAAAACTTTCAAAATTTATGAGCGGTAGAGAGGAAAATATTGTTTCTTATAAGTTACTGCTGACTACATTATCGGAAAAACCCAATAAAAAATAACATAATAAAACCAGCTGATCCAAAAAATGAGATCAAACTGCTACGACCGAGTCCTGCAATCTGTGAACTTACTGGTAACATAAAAGCTAAGAATCGTAAGTCAGCAGACAAAACCACTGCAAAACATTATTCTTTTAGTAGTTCCGCAGTAGAACAACTGTAGACTCAGACGTTAGACAAGTTGTAATCCCAAACAAGTACCCGTGTTTCCATCGGTATCTCGACTCTCCCTGCATAATTAAAAGAGAAAAACGCGGTAACAAGGTTTCGATAACTGTAGCCGTATTTGCTCCATCGCGGAACTCCATCACAATATCTGAAAAACAACGTAATGCTCATAAAGAATAATATATTGGCATAATAAAAGCGAACCGCACTTAGATGAGGAAAAAATTATCTATAAAGAACGCAGCAGTTAATACAATGCTCGACCTGACATTAAACTTAGTGCGACAATAGTGTCTCCAAAAGGTGAATGTACATCGACATGAGATGGTATTCCATCGCCAGGTTCATAAATGTTCACCGTCAGCTGATCCGGCTTTTCCTTGAAAATTCCTTCTCTCATCATACGATCAATAACGAAGTCACAACATGATGGCATTGGTAACTCTGCTGAGCTAGAGGCATCGTTTTTGTTATAATCAAACTGGTACCCAAAATGCACTACACTGCGCGACTTCAATCGTTCTGAAAGCATTTCTGTCTCAGATTATCCATATTTCACCAAATTATTCCGACACTGTTCTTTAGAACAGAGAACTAACAGAAGTCTACTGTTTGTGTAGGAGCAGTTAAGAAAATGACAGAAAAATTTCGAAAAAGAATAAAAAACAGAGGCAAGAACCTTATAATTAAGTAAAACCACAGAAAAGTTTAAGCATTTAATGCCAAGAAGCATGTTTGAAACTAAGAAATACTGAAAAATTTTTTGTTTGTTAATAATGAAACTTGAAATATCAGGTCCCGTACTGTGAAATACATATAATAACCATAGAAACAAAAAAACTAATAAACTAGCCGGCTTACTTTGTGAATTAAGGCATAATTGTATATGCTCAATCAGCCTGGATTCCTCTTCTGTGCTGACAAAGTCTTTTAAAAGTTTCAAACCAGGAGGTAACTGCCGTATGCTCGTCCTTGACGCCTTTGGTACTAGAAAATGATTAATACATAACCAAGTTGCATGAGTCAAATGACTTTAATTAAACTTACCCCCATCGACAAACGCTATGTAGAATGGTAGTGCATCGGATTTCAGTTCACATGGAACCTTCCCTTGTAAATTTCTCAAGGCTTCTTCGGCTTTCTCCGCAGTGGAAAACTCTACAAACGAATAGGATCGGTACCGTGGAAAGACAACAAACTTGCAAGAGTCATCGTAAGGAAGGAATATTTTTTCGAGATCTTCCAGCGAAACTCCGCATAAAACGCTACTGTTAGCGACAAACAGTGTCTAAAACGATTTAAAAAGTTCCGCAATCTGTCAACTACAACAAGCAAGAAAGCGATTGATTAAGAATATTATTAAAACGGAAGTGTACATCACGATACCAAATTGTTAGAGGCGCCAACTTGATAAAATTTAAAAGGCATGGTTCTAATTTGGCGCGAGAAGTACATAACATGAAAGAAGAAAAAAAACCATTTGTTAAAAGCATTTTGGATTTAGAGCAGCAAGTGGGAAAATTCTGAGTTTAGAGCAGGTCTTCAGCTTACTTTGTGAAGAAATTGGGTTCACAGTCAGGCAGGACATTAATTTACGGTGTATTAAAGTCTGCACTACGATTATCAAAATGTTTTCAGATTTACTTCAGAGAAGAGTTTGCCAATTAAAAAACTGTTTCTTTCCACCCTGTAAGAAACGGATGAATTTTTTAAAGCAAACAGACTATGAGAAATTGAGCACAAATTACTGTAGCATATTTGCGTTAGCGACTATTTCCATCACCGAGCTTCGGATATAATAATCTGAGAGAAAAGAACAGACTGTGATCAAAAATTTAAAAGTTACCTGTGACTACTCTATTCTGAGATGAGCTCGTATTTGTAAGAGTAAATGATTTACGTTCGATATGATGCGAAGATGGGTGAAATCTCTCTCCTATTTAACAATTTCCTCATTACCGGATCTAAAAGACGGAAGAAACAATTTCTGATTAGTTTTTGATGTCATTCATTTGGTACAAACAAAGAGTTTTTTACTGAGGTAAATCATCGCACATTTTGACTACTTCAGTAATCAACCAGAAAACTCACAAAAGAAGGCTTTAAAACAGAAACTTTACCAAAAAAGCCGTTTAATTACAAAATATGACAAAGCCTCAACGTCGAGGGGAAATTTGATCATATCTTCGCTTGCTTCACAGTTCAGATTTGTGAGTCAGATTCTAGTTAACGACTGAATATTACCTCCCCATACAACTTTTTATTTTTATGGTCATTATTATTTTTTGGTAATGTGCAAAAAAACATTTTTCAGAGAAATTTCGTGTCCGAAAGTCCATTCCCATCACGTTCTTACAAATTACTTATGTAGTCAGAATTGTAGAGCTACCAACTTTAAAACAAGAGATGCTTTCTTATGTTACAAGAACGACATCAAAAACTGGTCAAAAGTTGATATGTCGCACCTCTTAAATTTAAATTATGGTGTGCTTATTTAGGAGTAAAGCTTCACCAGTTGCCGTATCAAATAGAGCATAAGCAGTTACTTTTATAAATAAGAACTTGCACTCAGAAAATTAGTCATTTGCATTCTTCTTGAATATTTTTATTAGTACCGGTTTCCTTCACAGATTTCTATTTCCTGAGCCAAAGATAAGCAGAAGCCTGTAACTCGACCTACTTTTTTAAAGAGAATCAAGCCAAATTCTTTTAGTTTTTGACCTTTCTTTCCTCCTACCACTTTTCAAAAAACAAAAAAAAAAAGAAATCCCTCAACCGCTCAACAGTCAACAAAATCTTATTTAGACAAACCCAACAACATCTCAATAACTGTAGCTGGAATTTTAATACACCTTTATAAACACTTAAAATTCCGCCTTACTGTAAACTTACTTTTTTCACTCACTAAACTGAAACCTTGCTGTCAGACCAAAATGCTTCCACCCCCTATCTGAAAATTAAAATGCAATCCCCTAACAAATACTTTATTTTTTATTTTTTGATAAGCACTTCAGCACCAGTTTTTAAAAACTTGACAGGAACGCTCCCAAAAACTTTTCTCTTTCTGCAAAAGTGATTCAAGTCCGCTCGCTGCAAATATGCCTTTCAAAAAGCTTAATAATGACCACTTTTAAATTTTAAAGTGTCACCCACCTCTTCTCGTCTTCATACCCTTTTAATTCTATAACAGCATATAAATAGTTTGTAACTGCTTTTTCAAACCGTAAGCGATAAAATGCATCTTAACTGGTGACTAGAAACTTCTATTTAAAATTACGAAGATTAGGTTTAAAAAGAAAAAGGAAAGAGCAAATTCCTCTCTGAAACGTCGTAAAAACCAACTTCAAGACTGCCTGATTCGCAGATATTTCGGTTAGAAACAATTAAAAATGTTTGAAACAATCTAATGGCGGAGAAAAAAGTTACTCCAATATGAATTACTCACAGACAATAATTAGTAGCATGTAATTCCCTTTTTTAAACTGTCTACCTCATGCCTGCAAAAATCATCATAAGTGTTTGAAGCTTCACAACAAAATGATATTAAGTTCCAACAGTTAATCTATCTCCGATAACTTATGCCTAATAAAATGTTAAAAATGAAGTCAATTACTGAATATATACCTTAGTCGGTAATTCTGAAACAATGACGTCTGGATCATGTTTTGCCAAACTATGAAGATGTCGTTTCCATTTACGAAAAAAAAGTTTTGGTTGTTCTGCGACTTCAATTCCATCAGTTTTTTCCACTGTACGTACAGTACTGGTCATTGTTGAATTTATATCTGTTACCTGCAACAAGGAAAATGTCATTTCAGATGGCTAATGGCTATGTACAAAATATATATTCAAGAAATCGTCTACTGAAGAATTCCCAAAGACTTCAATAAACGATTTAAAAAAAAAAAAACCGTTAACGGCTCAGGAAAAGGTTTTGATGGAAACAAACAGGGTCGAAACTTAAGGAACCCCCTAACTGTCTTGCAATGGATAGCATATAACTTGCAACACAGAATGGATTCGCGAAGTGCAGCAAAGAAGTTGGGTAGCCGCTACTGTTAACTTGTCTTTAATCTGCATTTTAAGTTCCCGCAACGAAAACAGATTGCAGCTGGTAAAATGCCAGCGCGATCCCGAAACCAGCGCCGCTACGCTGCCACTCTCAATTTCTTATCTGCAAATTTCTGAGGAAAGGCTGAGTAGTGTACAGCTCGGAATTACTTCGTTTAGAAGTTCTTATGTTGTGCTCTATCCGAATTTAATACTGAAAGGCTTTTTTCTCCGATTTTTTAGAAAAACTGATTTACCTCTGTCAGTTATTGTATAGTCACTTGGCAATCTGATCAGAATCTGGATTTCCTCGCTTGGTTATCTCGAAACGCCAAGCTTTATCTCCTGTTATTACCAGAATTAACGTACCAACTATATTTTTATGCTGCGGCTCACTGAGCCTTCACTTTCTGCGCTTCAACATAAATGGACTTCACAGCAGTTTTTACTATTCAAGTTTCTGGCTTTTCTGGATACACCGTATTATTCTTATAATTTTGAGTCAAATGAACAGCATTAAACTGGAACTGTTACTACATGCAAGAAAAAAAGAATTATAACTAAAAATGTATTATGATTGATATCATTATTAGCTTTAGCATTATTTTCCGCTCTTCCTTTATGCTAATTTTGTGTCAACGTGTTGCGTAATTTTCGTGACATACAGATAATGGTAATCTATTCAGATTTGGTGCTTTCTGTAGTGATTTGAACGGCTAAAATTGTTTCTAATGGGTAGATCACATTTCTTAGAAATGTACAGCTCTTTTTTTTTCTCGCACCTCGTACTTCTCTTGTAACCAATGACGCAATTAAGATTCTCATTTTTTACCTCCAAACTTAAAAAAGTTCTCTGTCTGTTTTACTCGAATACAGTAAACGTGGTAAGTTATAAGCAGAGGAAGCTTAGTTTACAGTCATCTAATTGTGCTTTTTAAATAGATGTACTAACGTTCAATAACAACGTCGCCCTTCCCTCAGTCTGCATAAGGCAAATTCAACAGATGTATAAGTGTTCTTTGTTTTAGCACGGTTACATCTGTGGACGGTTTACAAGATTTGAGAACCTATTTTTTGGACACTCATTACTCTACACTTAGTTTACCGAAAAACTGATATTCGTCAACCGTTCCTAGATGGTGATATGGCGGCTTTACTTTAGTTGTCTGTGCTGTAAGAATACAACAAAAACGGCAGGTTACGAACAGAGAGTGTATTTTACAACCATCACCAACTTTTTGAGTAGAACTACTTTACAGCAGTAACTTTGTGCTCTTCCATAGCCTGCATATTGACTAAGCCGATTATTACGACTTAGCTGCTCCAGAAATAGCTCCCGACTACCCAGTGAAAATTTCGTTCATAATCCCGTCAATTTATTGTCCACAAATATTCCGACGGCGACTTTTTGAATAGGGCTTGTCCAACTTCAACCGCCTGGCAGTCCCGTTTTACAGTTCCAAAGATCTACGCAGCTGCTTGGCATGTTAAAAGTACTTGAAATTTAGCACTTTGTGATGAACTGCAGAAGAACTACCAAGGCAACAAAAGTGGCAGCGACGACTGAAATGTAACTTTCCTGATGTTTAAGATCTCATTTCGTTGCTGTATGCGGTCTGCATGCAAAATTCTTCCGATCTAAACCCAAGTGAAGATTTTAATGAGCTGGGTATTCTTAAAGCTGGTTGAATGAAATTTCTGGATTTGTAAGTACAGTTGTTCACCAATGAACTAATTGGAAAAAAGCTTTTACCTTCTAAATTAAGACACAAAACGGTCAATGTTTACAACATCAGTGTTCAAGGCAAAAGAAGCTTCCGCCAGCAGTCGTGAGCCAAATATGGAAGTCTAAAGAACAACAAATTGGCGAAAACAGGCGAAAATAGCATTTTCTGACGGAAATGAACTGAAAACAACATAACAAAGAGTTGAAAACTGATCACAAAATGAAAAACACATTTCTCATTAACGTTGATCACAGATTCTAGTTTACAATCACAACGTAACACATATATCCTTATTATTGAATAGCAGTTATGACGTAACCGAGAAAGTATTTGAAATTATGCAAGAGAAAGAAGTTGAGATGATTTCCAAAAAGTAGCAAAAACTCAATATTAGTAATAATCACAATTAACCGTATTTTTGTGGAGAGAATAACACAAGTCATTTCTAAAACCAATTTATACCACCACAACGATTAAATTGCACCCCCTCCCCCCACCTTTATCCCTTCTAAAAAACTACAACCAGCTACTATCCCGTCCCCCAGGCAATTGTAAAACTTATAACCTAATACAAATAAGATATTCAACACTATAAAACAAATATCTTTCTGAAAGATAAATGTTTGTTACAACAGATCTCAACCAAAAGATCGAATAAGTAGAAAAATTTGAACTTCCTAAAGATTCAATCAGATTTAGTGCGAGGCAAAACAAAGGGCCGCTGACCTATATAGTGAAGATTGCCAGAAGGAGCCTAAAAACATCTTTTGGCGGGCCATCCATATCAAGAACCCAAGTGGGGAAAAAAAAACAAGAACAGTAAGCACCAAACATACGAAAATTAGAAATAATCACACTATAAATTCAAACTTTTATCTTCAAATCTTAGTTAACTACTACCGGCATTAGGAACTCTTGTTCGCTACCGAAAAAGAACCTGCTTACTAACGGTTTTTCATTTCACGTCTTATCCTTTTAGACGCTCTACCACAGCAGCAACCAATAAGGAAAAGCACAAGGACAAAGCCAGTGAACCATACAAGAATTGACAATCTATGAGGGTGGCTATTTACAACATAAACGAGGTCGATCATGTTTGTTGGCAGACGATCCTAAAATAATGAATGTTAGTATGCATGTGTGCAGTAAAGCCCTACTGATACTTATGCCCACAAGGTATAAGCATGAGGAAAGATAAACTAAATGACCTTCTGCAGTTTCATCCACAGTTCATTTCTCGCTTCTAGCATTTTCTTGCAGACATCTGTCATCCGACTTGCCTTAGAACTTCTCATTGTATCCATCAGGCAGATAATTACTAGAAACCAGGTTTTTAAACATCTAACTCAGTACTCGAATTAAATATCAAAAAATAACCATGTGAAACACTTACATCTGCTTTCCCCCGGATTGATACCATCACAAAACATAGTTAAATCTCGGGCGCACGCGTTATGGAGTGGAGTATCAAGTTGAATGTCTTTCAGTGACTCCTGTAAGCGTCTAGCTATCTGAAAAACAATGCTATTAACGTATTACATTCATGTAGGCCATATAGCTATAACCATTACAAAAAGCAAGTTACCATTTCGAAATAAAGCATAACTGTCACAACACCACACAATGAGAAGTTTCTCAACAAGGAAGTACTCTTAAAAAATAACTATTTCCTTTCAAACTCACCACCCAATTTCCTAATTCTAAGCTATGTAATATTGCATAACGAATATAACAGAAACACGTATAAATTAAAAAAGCAACATATACCTCACGTCCGCAGTTCTCATCATGAACTTTCCCCTCTCCGTATTCTTTCTTGAGGCACTCGAGAGCTTCATATATGTTAAACCCGCGCTTGATGAAATGGTCTTTACATTGGTTCGCAACAATTGTTTTGCAAGCATGATACAATGGCGGGTCGAGTCGTACGTCGAAATCACTTTCAACGATAACGTTAGATATCTAAAAGAATAATCGCAATGGATGAGACGCCTTTTCAGAAAGTCCTAAATTAAAACACCAAAAAAAAGTTGTTGCAACAAACATCAAAGCAAACTTCTTATACTAAATAGCTACTTCATAAGAAAAAAAGAGAAATAACTGACTTCCACTTTACAGTTATCAGAGAGAGGTACACCAGCAGCAAACTTAGCACGCAAGCACTGGATAATTGTTCCCGCTAGCATTTTTCTTTCATAATTCTTGTCCTTAATTTTCTTGTAGTCTTCAGCACAACTAAAGATAACCAATATCAATATCAAAAGAAAATCAAATCATGCGGGACTCACTTCTGTACAGAAGAACGTGAAAATCAAATATGGTTGATCAGGACTCCTATTATTACACATAAAATCACAAGCTAAAAAGTCCTCAAAACGCCCTCTAAAACTCTACGATCAGTTCCCAATAGTAAAGTCTATAACTGAGTGTCGCCAAGTACAAAAAATTCGCGAAACCAAGATGTCAACCAAATCGTCCTTGAGAACTGAACATTTTAAATTTAGGCTTAACAAATACAGAGGAAAAACCTTACTGTTCCTGAGCTTCCGCTTGACAGGCTTCAAAAAGTGGAATATTCAAACGAATATCTTGCATCTGTTCGTGCATTCGTTGGAATACGATCTAAATAAATCTACAAGGTTCATCCTTAGGAATATCCTAACACCGTACAAAACATTATAAAAGGATTAGGTGCGAAAATAAGGTGTAATAAAGTAAGAAAAGTATTGGAAAATTAAGAAAACAAAGTAAAGGAAACACAGACTACCCAGTCTTAATCGTCCCAGCCTTACTCATCGTTCAGAAAACTGTAAACACTAACCTTCTGACAGTCAGGTGAAAGAATACGAATAAATTTAGAATTCGAAAGGCATTTCAACACTTCTTCCTCGCGATAACCATCACAAAATTTTTTAATGTCTGCCTGGCAGCTCTTCTGAAGAAAAGTGTTCAATCTTCACCAAAAATGCAAACAGTCCAAGCTTAAATAGCAGAAAGAAGCGCAAATTTCCATTCCTTCCTTACTTTTCCGAACTCTACATAAGACGAATGAAACAATAATTGGAGAGGAAATTTGTGTGGAAAAAAATAAAAAACAATTTCTGAATCATATATGAGCCGAGAGGTTAAAATTAAAAAACCACACCTGTAGTTCATCATCCAATTCATTGTCAACAGCTTGTGCTTTTTCTCTCGAGAAAATAATTGACTGGCAACCCCGCTCTACAAAGATACGCTTTGACATACTCCACAATAAATAATTTTCAAAGTGAAAAAAATTCACTCTAACTATCTGAAAAAATTATAAAAAACCAAAAAACACTGAGATCCTCTTAAAAAATACATAAAAAGAAACCTAGATCTTCATAATTCTCCCTCAAACATTCAACAACGTCTTCGAAAGACTTTGCGTTTTTTAAGCATTTATGCTTCTCCATATCCTTACGACAGTACTGCATTAATTTCGTATGCGCATCTTCCATGTGATCCTTATTATCAAACTACAACAAAATTAACGGTTAAAATAAAAACCCTATCAAGAAAAAAATAGAAAAGACCCACTCGCTCCTGTTGCAAGAAGGCGACTTTCAATTGCTTCTTGCATTCCGGCTTCAAGTCCTCTTCCGTCTTCAAAACCTTATGTTCAAACAATACACGAGACAAACACTGTATTATCTGCCCCCTTTAAAACGATTGCGTGACAAGTGATCCAAAAAAACAGATCAAAAAGAAGTTTCTCAACAGAAAAAGCTAAAGAAAAAATTTACTTGTCAGCTCCGACCGATTCTTCAGAACAGTACTGGCGAATGTCGTCCGCACAAGACTGGTTAAAGTGGAAACTGAATCTATAGTCTCTTAGCGAAATCAATTCAAAGTGATCAACGTAGGATTTGCAGACATCGTTCATTTCTTCCGAATCTTTATGGTTATAGAGGCATTCCATTACATCGCCATGGTCAATAGCTTCATTTGCAAATTCCTAAAAATGTATGACAAAATGAAACGAAAATAGACAAAATTCTGTTCATAAACATTGCGTACCTGACAGTACTTGCTTATCACTGGTTTGCATTCTTTAGTAAGCGCATGATTCAAAGCAGTATCCTTTGCCTCCATTGCAGTAAATTCGGCCAGTTTATCGTAACACTGTCCATACTTTGTTTTAAACTCGGGCTTTTGAAAATGCTCTTGCAAGCAACGCATTTCCTAAACAAGCTATACCCTAATGTACAAATCATTTCCAAACAAGCAATTCTGGGAAAGCGAGGATATCTAAGAATTTTGAAAAAACCAACCGCCGACGGATTTGTGTCGGCCGAACAAAATTCTGAGAGAGCATCCCTGCATGTATCTTCAATGTCTGGCATCAAAAATACCCGAGCAGCACGTAAACGTAGAATTCTTCTAATGTTTTCTGCGCAGATTGGTTGTAACTATAAAATTTTCCTTAATGTTCTAATTTGTTCTTTTGATACGTTTTTGCTAAATTAGTTAACCATAATAATTACTAACTGGATTCTGCTCGTCATAAGCATTACGGTACAAACAAGAAAGTACTATAGGCCCTTCTTCAGGTATATGTTGCTCATTTTTTTGCTTGTGCCACTCCGCGGAAGCATGACATCTAAATAAATAACCTCATTTACAAAAAATTTTTTAGGGTCGGGGATAGGACATTTCGGAACAAACTGTGCACTGAAAACTGACACTTTGACGGCATCATGATGACAAGCCTGATAAATTTCGGGATCTAAAGTCCAATCACGAGCCAGAAAGTATTGGACTTCTAACAATCGTTTCTCACAATCTCTTGACATTTCCTTTGTATCAATATGCTGCATGAGACAACTTAAAGTACTTGTTGGCGACTCGAGATCCTTCGCACACGCACCTAGAAGAATAACAGGAGTGCTTTTTTTTTTTTTTTTTTTT